CCTGTACATGAATGTTTATAGCAGCTTTATTCATAATCTCCAAGACCTAGAGATGTTCCTGAACCCAATGTCCCTGCACTGGTGAATGGATAAACAAACTGTAGTTCATTCACATAATGGAATGCTACTCAGTAATAAAAAGGAGCTAATTCCTGATACACACAACAACATGGATGAATGTCCTAAGCATTATGAGTGAAAGAAGCCAGACACAGAAAGCTGCACACCGTGTATTCCATTTAAATGCCATTCTGGAAAAGGCAAAACTATAATGATGGAGATCAGATCAGCAGTTACCAGGGACTAGGGGAGTGGGGTGGGGATGGACGATACAGAGGCACGAGGGAACTTTTTGGGGTGATGGAACTGTTCTGTATCTTGATTATGGCATTGGATCCATGACTGTGCATTTGTCAAAATTTATAGAACTGTACATCTGAAAATATGAATGTTGCTATGCATCAGTTAACTCCAATATATTTGGCTTTAAAAAAGAACTCTTAAAAAGGTTTTAAAAAGATGTGTGTGTGGTGGGGGAGAATGATGTGGGAGTTTATATATTCATGAAGGACCTCTGGAAAGGGACAGAGAAGAGAGTGGACAATTGACAAGAGCTTTGATCTTGGAGTTCGTGGACGACGGTCTGCATCCCAGCTCCAAACCCTTCTCATTGCACTTTCTGGGCAGGCCCCTCCCCTTTTCTGAGCCTCTTGTCATGTCTCTAAAACCAGTACCTATCATATCTGAAGCTTAGAGGAATTGGCAAGAGAGTCTTGGAATCCTAGGTGTAAAGTCATTCTCTGCTCTCCTGGAGGTACGAGGGGGACCCCAGAAGAAGACAATGATAGGGTCAGGAGCATGAGTTTTAGAGCCAAGAGGCAGGGCTGTGTTCAAATCCCAGTTCTGCTGCTCACTTTCCAGGTGGCCTTGGGCTACTTAGTCTCTCTGAGCCCCAGTTTCCTCATCTGTAAAATGGGGACAACAGGGGTGTCTGGGTGGTTCAGTCGGTTAAGTGTCTGCCTTTGGCTCAGGTCATGATCTCAGGGTCCTGGGATCAAGCCCCGCATCCATCTCCCTGCTCAACGGGGAGCCTGCTTCTCCCTCTGCCTCTCTCCCTCCCCGTGCTCTCTCTCTCTCAAATAAATAAATAAAAATCTTTTAAAAATGGGGACTACAATTGTAGCTACCTTATGGGGTTGTCCCAAGGCCTTAGGAATTCATGGCATGTAGATGGTTTGAAATGGAGCCTGGCACAAAGTAAAAGCTCAAGGAGAAAGAGAGAAAGGAAGAAAGGTTTTCCGGTGTGACCTGCTCCCAGCATGAATGACCAGACCTCCCTCTGGTTATGATTCCTGCCAGTCCCCTCCACCTTTGATCATTCTCCTACACACCCATCAGGGCCTGTTCCTCCTCAATCCCTGCACCGCCACCCAAAACTTTGGCAGTCACTGTTCCTGCAGCCTGATACTTGCCCTTTACATTTCCTCCTGGCCATGTCCTTCTCATAGTTCAGGACTCAGTTCAAGTGGTCCTACCCCAGAGAGACTTTCCTCAACCATCCAGGCTAATACAATGTCCCTCTCACCAGCCACTCACGTGCTACCATGGGGCCAGAAAATTACAGCCCTTGACTCAAATAAGCTGCTGTTATTTTTATAAATAAAGTTTTATTGGCACACAGTCACACCCATTCATTTATGTATTCTCCAAAGCTGCTTTTGAGTGAAGTAGCCACAAGAGACTGGCTGTCCCGCAAAGCTGAAATGTTTACTTTCTGGCCCTTGACAGAAATTCTTGCTCTATCCCCCAATCTATTATCTTCATAGCAGTCATTGCTGTGTGAAGTTATATTGTTCCTTTATTTGTTTACTTGCTTATTGTCTGTCTTTTGCACTAAATGGAGGACAAAAATCACATCAGCTTGGTTCCCTGCTGTATTCTCACATAGCACATAGCAGGCATTCAAAAATATTTTTTACAGAGTGAATGAATTCACAAAGTAGGCTTGGGGCTGTGTATATATGGCTGTGTCTTTCTAGAATGTTGGAGGAGAAAGAGACTTAAGAAATCCTCTAAAAAAACCCTCTTGTTGTAAAGAAGGGGGGGCAGACACAGGGTATAGAGCACACCCTCATGGAGGACAGTGAACAAGCCAGATCCCTGGACTGAGAGGAGAATCCTAGGGTCTAAGAATCACTTGCTACTACAAAGCCCACCTCTCTGTGACAGAGACGGGAAACACAGGATGATGAAAAGCAACGCATGATCCTGATTTGGATCCCAGCTTGGGGAGAAATGCCATAAGGGACAATATTGGGATGACTGGTGAAACTGGAATGTGGGCCAGCGATTAGACAGGAGTGTTGTAACAATTTTAACTTATTGGCTGATCATTAAATTAGGGTTACATAGGAGACTGTCCTTGATCTTGGGGGATGCATGCTGAAGTATTTAGGAATGAAGGGGCAGTTTTGTTTGCAACTTACAGGATTGGGACAGATACAAAGATATACGTAAAGAAATAGACAAAGATAAAGCAAATGTGGCAAAATGTTAACAATGGGTGGGTGAATCTAGATAAAGATGACATGGAAGTTCATTGCACGATTCTTGCAACTTTCCTGTGGGTTGGAATTTTTTTTTTTTTTCACAATAAAATGGTTAGGGGCGCCTGGGTGGCTCAGTTGGTTAAGCATCTGACTCTTGATTTAGGCTCAGGTCATGATCTCAGGGTCAGGAGATCGAGCCCCGAGTCGGGCTCAGCGGGGAGTCTGCTTGAGATTCTCTCTCTCCCTCTCCCTCTGCCCCTCCTCCCTGTGCCCTTTCTTTCTCTTTCTCTCTCTCTCTCTCTCTCTCAAATAAATAAACATTAAAATAAATAAATAAATAAAATGGTTAAAAGAAAAAGGGGGAAAACAAATAAACAAACAAGGCAGCTATCTCCAGGCTGCATGCCCATTTATTCTTCTTCCCTTTGTAGCAAGCTCCCTGTTCCTCCTTTTGGAACTGTGAAGCCATAACTGGCCTCTGAGTGGGAAGCAGAATGGAGGAATTAGAGCGTTTCAGATGAGCTCACTGGAATCACACACTTGACAGTGGACTTGTTAAGTACCTACTATGTGTCAGAATTCCACATAGCTTCTGCAGCCACTCCCCATGGATTTGACTGAAACTTTCCCCAGTGCATCACTGGAATTAACCCTTGGATGGGGCTTCATAGTTGACAAATGCTAAGTGCCTCATCTGATGCTCCTGGTTCCATGGGTGATATTCAGACGGCTCATTTGTGAGTTCAAATTCCACAAAATGAGCAGCCCCTTTAGGGGACTTTCATACTGGGAGAGCACAAGCTAGGACACAAATCCCTCTATTGTCAAAATACTACATCTGAGTATAGTTATACTTTCATGTCTTCACCCTCCCTAAAGACAAGCTTGGTTGTTGAATTCAAGGCCGGTGCTCCGCCTTCCCCAAAACCCATAATACAACAGAAGTTGGTTGATTAGGTAAAGGGGTGGAACGTCTCAGAAAATAATAATAGCTTCATTATTGGGAAACTTACCATGTCTAGACAATGTTTCTATTGCCATGCCAAGCTGCACTGGAGCCTGAGGTAAAAGGAAAAATCAGTAACGCGGATCCTATCTTTATTTAAAATTTTGATAATGTATTCATTGCCGATTTTTTACATTAATTTTGATTCCTTAAAACATTGCATTGAGGGGCGCCTGGGTGGCTCAGTTGGTTAAGCGACTGCCTTCAGCTCAGGTCATGATCCTGGAGTCCTGGGATCGAGTCCCACATCGGGCTCCCTGCTCAGCAGGGAGTCTGCTTCTCCCTCTGACCCTCTTACCTCTCGTGCTATCTCTCATTCTCTCTCACTCAAATAAATAAATTAAAAATAAAAAAAACCATTGCATTGAAACATTATTTATCTTGATTACTGAGTTTTTTTGGTGCCGTCTTGAATTTCTACACCTGTGGCAGGTAGTTTGCTTATCTTAGTCCTGGCCCACATTATTTATTTCTTTGGTTTTTTTTTTTTAAAGATTTTATTTATTTATTTGACAGAGAGATAGAGAGAAAGAGAACAAGTAGGTAGAGAGGCAGGCAGAGGGAGAGGGAGAAGCGGCTTCCTGCTGAGCAGGGAGCCTGATGCGGGGCTCGATCCCAGGACCCCAGGACCATGACCTGAGCCGAAGGCAGCCGCTTAACCAACTGAGCCCCCCAGGAGCCCCCCATATTATTTATTTCTAACAACCATCCGCACCATATCATGAATTTCTCATCACAATGCTCTGAGAAGGTACTACCATTATCATCATTTCACAGGTGAGGAAACTGAAGCACAAAGAGGTTCAACTGTGCCCAAAGTCCCACAGCAGGAAGGAAAAATATCTGGATTTGAACTCAAGCTTGGTTGTTTTTTTACTCAGAGCCTGCTCAGTAAAGCAAAACAATAAACTAAGTTATGAAGTGGGTTCTGAGCTGAGGAATCAAAAGATCTGGTCTTGAGACTCACCTCTGCCCCAGGCTCTTCTGAACCCTCCATTCTCACAGACCTCAGTTTCCCTATCTGGAACTGAACTTAAATATTCTGAACCTGCCCTGTTCTTTCCCCAACTCAGTTTACTAGTTTTCTCTCTCCTGAGTCAGCTATAGCACAATGTGGAGATGAGAAGAAGCAGGTACCAGCCAGGGCTTCTGGGCCGAGCTGGATGTGAGAGACCCAGGAGGAATTTGAGCCAAGTGGGGAGACCCTGAGGATCACAGTGAGTGCTCCTCCCCACTCTAGGAAATCCCAACCCAGTTTTTGGGCAGATGCCAGACTTTTATTCTGAAGCCGAGACCACAGCCTATGAGGTAATCTTTGGAGATGCATTCCAGGCGGAGTCCCATTGGCCGTCTGGTGAAGCCCCTCCTCGGGTTCCCGGTGCTCCGCCTTCCCCAAAGCCCATAAAAGTGCACGTCCCTGCCTCGGCAGCCACTGGTCACCTGCATCTGCCCACAAGATTGGAAGCAGGTGAGGCATACAGAGGAAAGGCCACTGCCCCGTGGGGGAGGGGTGGTCTGAGGGACCAGGGACCCCCGGGGATGGGGCCGGTTTACAGATCAGCGCATGGACATCTTCCAAGAAAGTGACAAAGACGGCAAAGTTGGCGGTCTGGAAAGCGGGAGGCCAACAGGGCTGACTACCTGGGAGGTAAGTCTAGGGACAGCCACGAGGTGGGGAGTAGGTATGAGTACTGGTTGCGACCTCTCCGTGTCTCCCCCACTGCCATTATGAAGCGCCCCGGGAAGAGAATCGAAAGATAAAGAAATCTGGGGGAGGGGGAGAGTCAGAGGGATAGAGAACAGAGGGGAATGGGGTGACCCAAGGGAGGAGAGGGAAGCAAGTTTTCTTCAGAACCGAGGCTGAGGACAGCTCTCCGACCACCACGGAAGGAAATGGCTCTCTGTTTCGGAACCGAAGACGCGGACAGCGCCTCTCGGGGTCCGCGCAGGGAACCGCGATCTGCTTCAGCACCAGAGCTCCGGACAGCTTCCAGCGGGGTTCGCGGGCCGACTTCATTTCAGCACCAGGAAACCGGACAGCTTCCCTGGTAACCAGGGAGACCTCGCACCCTGCCTGGGGAAGAGAGGGTGGTCTGAGACGTCTTTCGCTTCTGGAGACTTGCCCCTCATTTAATGGATGTTTCAACGAATTATTTTCTAGATCAGCACGTGAAATGAAACCGCACACATAAATCTGTAATTCCGAACAGGTGAGGCGGCCAATCGGTAGGACTGTGGGGGAACGCGCGCTTGCCAAGATGACGTTGTTGTGCTCTTTCCAGACTTCTGTAGAAGCATTGCGCCAAGCGTTTTATATACATTATATGCCATCTTCAACCCTAGGACATGGGTGTTTTTATGCCCAGGTGACACTTGAGGAAACTGAGACCCAGAGAGTGGCACCCAAAGGTGAATGAAGCTGCAAGTCAACCCCACATGCGTCCAACTCCAAATTTCATGTTTCTGACATGCCTGGGTGGGAGTAGGGCCCTTGGAAATCAGACCTTGCCTCTATCCAGGGGGACCAGGAACGGAAAAGAGGAGGCAGTGGAGAAGCAGGAAGCCCGGATGTTATGGCTTGGCTCAGGTGAGGGGTAAGAGCTGGGTGGGGGGATCTCAGATGTGGGGCAGAGGGGGCGAAGAAGACTGGAGTGGTTGTGGTCTAGTGCTGTGTGGAAGACTAGTGATTTTGTTGTTCTGATGTACTATGACAACAAGTCACAGCTTCCTCATAGCGTGGACTCCCATCGACCTCCGCCTGAGGTGGACAAGCAAGCGTGGGGGACGGGGGATCAGAGAACAACTTACATCTAGGGGGAGGGCTGGCTAATTCCATGGCACAGGGATAAGGGAGGGAATAAAACAGGGGCATGCACCCCATAAATATACAGCAATGTCCATATATTGTATCGACCATGTTACTTGTACACTCCCACAGGCCAGGAGATACAAAGTATCTGAGTCTGAACCCAGGGACCATACCCATCTTACTACACTTTCCTGGGGAAATCGGTGAAGGAATGGCATTTGAAGCCCTCCCTAGGCCAGAATTCTTTGGAGACTTCTCAATAACATTTCCGGGAATGATATTTTTCTCCCCTATCCTGCCATCAGTTCCATGTACCAATTATAGGACAGATGTAAGTTTGTGCCTGGTAGGTGAGTTGTGACCTCAACAAGACTCACCCCCAATTCCCTATGACATCCTAATCAAGTCACAGACACCACAGCAAGTTTGTTCTAGCCTTAGAGCCTTTGCTATTCCCTCAGCTTGGAAAGCTCTGCCCCCCCACAGCATCCCACTGCTCACGCTACCTTCTTACCCAAGTTTCATGTCGTTGAGGGAAGTTTTCCTTGTTGCCTCACACTGCCCCCCTCCCCGTGTCAAGTCGATATTATACATTCTCATAGACCTGGGATATCTTCTCTCCATCACTTCAGTTATTTTTGTGTTATCTGTCTGCAGGACTGTCTGTGTCACCATTATACTGTGAGCTCCATGAAGGCAGAGATTGTGTTTGTATTTTCACTGCTGTGTCCCCAGCACCCAATTCAGGACCTGGCACACAGCAGGTGCTCAATAAACATTTGTTGAATCAACAAAGGCATCAGAGAATAAACCAATGCATCAATCAATAAGTGAATTGATGGCTTCAGCACACACATAGAGATCCTGCTTCTCCTTGGTCTCCCCAACAGAGATACCATAGGGTGATGGTTGCTGCAGGTGTTTATTGGGGAGTATAATTAAATTTGTGGACACTCAAGGGCCAGCCAGCCAACTAATAGCCCCAGGAGAGAGCCAGGCTCATTTAATTAGCAATTACAAGGCATTGATTCCTCATTAGCTCCAGCAACCCCTGTCTCCCTCTTCAGCCCCAGACAAATGAAATCTTTCTCTCTCCCAGGAGTACTGCCTCAGTGGGTCCATTAACAAGCAGAGAAAATACGATTACAAGACACCTAAATGCCAGAGGCGGTTCATGAATGGGGTGGGGAGAGGGGGTTCAATGTCTGGGTTAAGGCTAATTGTGAGAGATTTTCTGGTATATTTAGAATCACCCTCTGGGAACTGGAGAGCTTTTGGATAGGAGAAGACACCCAGATACTGCCCCCCCCAATTAGGGACCCCATTGAAAGAGTAGATTCTACCCTGGTAGTTCTGTGAATGTCTCACTCTGAGTGTCTCACACTTACTCCAAATTAATCATTCCAAATTGAACACCCAATGCACCCAACCGCCAGTATGCCCCTCTTTCCGTGTCCCCATCAATGTGGCAGTCTCTCTACATCCCAGAGACCCCCCCCCCCTTCATATCCACCAATCCTCTTCCCTGAATTCCCCCAAGGTAAGTCATTCTGGTTAAATCCATCCTCTTCTCCAGCCCCCTGCCTCCACCACTGTTTGGTTATCTTGTGATCTCTTCCCTCCTCCCTCAACACACACAGCCAACTCATTCTCCACATACATTAAGGAGTCTTCTAGAACACAAATCTGATCAAGTCCTGGCTTTGCCTTCAACCCTTCCAAGACTCCCATTACCTGCAGGATAAAATCCCAATATCCTCACACAACCTGCATGATCTAGGACCTCCCTGCTGAGAGTAATTGCCTATCATTGTCCCACCAGCTACACCAAACAACTAGCCCACTCAAGACCACATCTTATCTGGATTCTCCAATATTAATATGAGAATGATTCACCTGGGAAGTTCACAGAGAATGCAGATTCCCAGGACCCTCCTAATTTCAATAAGCAGAGGGGAGGGAGATCCCGAAATCTGCATTTTGATCAGTTTCTCCACTGATTCTTAGGGAATTCTTCCTTTGATTAAAAAAGATTCCACTAGGAGCTCCTGGGTGGCTGAGTCATTTAAGCAGCCTACTCTTGATTTCAGCTCAGGTCATGATCTCAGGGTTGTGAGATCAAGCCTGGCATCAGGCTCCCCACTCAGTGGGAAGTCTGCTTGAGATTCTCTCCCTCTGCCTCTCCCCCCTGCTTCTGTTCTCTCTCTCTCTGAAATAAATAAATAAATCTTTTTAAAAAGATTTTATTTTAGGGGCACCTGGGTGGTTCAGTCATTAAGCGTCTGCCTTTGGCTCAGGTCATGATCCCAGGGTCCTGGGATTGAGCCCCGCATCAGGCTCCCTGCTCTGGGGGAAGCCTGCTTCTCCCTCTCCCACTCCCCCTGCTTGTATTCCCTCTCTCGCTGTGTCTCTATCAAATAAATAAATAAAATCTTTAAAAAAAGATTTTATTTTATTTGAGAGAGAGTGAAAGTGATCACAGAGGCCAAAGGAGAAGCAGACCCCCCAATGAGCAGAGAGCCTGATGTGGGGCTTGATCCCAGGACCCTGGGATCATGAACTGAGCCAAAGGCAGACATTTAACCGACTGAGCCACCTAGGTACCCCCAAAATAAATCCTTTTTAAAAAGACCCCACCAACCTTTTATGTCCCCCCCAAAAGACCTCTGGGGAGACACCTCAGTTAATCTCATGAGTTTCATCTTCATATCCCCTCATGCCCAGCTAAGTGCTAGTACTTAGCAAGTCTTCAGTTGAGATATGAATGCTGGTGTCTGAGCCCCATTACCTTCACCAGACACAGAAGGATGGAACCCATACACACCTATAAACATGAACCAGCACCCGCAGAGTTGCTTCTGGACTGAAGGTACAACCCATTGAGCTATCTTATCATATTTGATCAGTATCCACTTATCTTAATTTGGGAATCCATGAAAATAGAGGCTCAGACAGTGTGGTTTATTAGGAAGGTGGTCCTAGAGAGTAGGAGTCAAGGGACCAGAGAATGGGGCAAAGAAGCAGGGAAAACTGATATACAGGAATGTACTACAGTTACTCTGATACATTCAAAAATAACAGTTCTAAAACACAATGGAAATAAATTTTTCCCCTTTAGCTCACCAATCCCATGCCTAGATTTATGTAGAAGAGAAATGAATATGTATTTCCACAGAATGAAATTTACAGAAACAGCTTTAACAGTTTGATTCATAATAACCCAAAACTAACTGGTGAGTGGAGAAACAAATAATGGTATGTACGCACTTGGGGGGGGGGGAAGAAACAAACTAATGATATAAACAGCAGCATAGAGGACTAGAAAAGTCATGCTGAACAAAAAGAATTTGAACACATATGCATGATTCCATTTATATGACGCTGAACAATGGGCAAAAGTAATCTATATTAATAGAAATCAGAACATTGGGCTGGGGCACCTGGCTAGCTCAGTTGGCAGAGCATGTGACTCTTGATATTGGGGTCACGAGACTGAGCCCCCATGTTGGACGTAGAGATTACCTTTAAAAAAAAAAAAGAAGTCAGAGCATTGGGTGCCTCTGGAGTGGGTAGGAATCCATCAGAAAGAGGTCCTGGGAACTGTCCGGGGTTCTGAAAATGTTACCTATCTTGGTTAGGGTATTGACTATATGGGTGTATAGTTGCCAAAAATCTTTGATCCATGCACTTAATTAAGATCTGTGCAGGGCACCTGGGTGGCTCAGTCATTAAGCGTCTGTCTTCGGTCAGGTCATGATCCCAGGGTACTGGGATCAAGCCCCGCATCCGGCTCCCTGCTCCGTGGGAAGCCTGCTTCTCCCTCTCCCAATCCCCCTGCTTGTGTTCCCTCTCTTGCGCTGTCTTGCTCTCTGTCAAATAAATAAAATATTTAAAAAAAAAGATCTGTGAATTTTGCTATGTGAAAAATCCAACTTAATTTTTCTGGTAAAAAAAAACTTGAATATATTTATTTTATGTCACATAACTGTCTGGGTCTATGCAGTTCAGGGAGGGTTTGGTGTCTCATGATGGCAGGGCCCAGGTTCCTATGTCATTGCTGACTATCCTGTCACCCTCGCCCACATGGTCCAATATGGTGCATGATTTATTGGAATATTGTTTCTGAGGTCAGATGTGCTCAGCTAAAAATCGAGGGTTCTAGTGCTGAGGGAGAAGGAGAGAACATTTGCTGAGGATAGCTAGCAATCTCTGCTACACATATCTCAAACAGTTGGAAATCCATCCAATGTCATTCACATTTTCCAAGCCAGTTTCCAACTGAGACCTCCCATAAGCCTGTATCTCCAGGCTCATATTTCAAAATACAGTTGTAAGCTCCTGAAGAGGAAAGGCATATGAATGGGCAACATGGCAGATCTGCCTAAAAGAGACACCCATATCCTGGCTGCAGCTTCAAGACCCTGGAGAGATAGACAAGGACGGAACAAATAAAACAGATAATCCAGTCTACACTGGGCACAACACAGTTCTCAAAGCAAAAAGCACCTGTGGGAAAATGAAGAGTTTGCAGTACGGAGTTAACCACTTAGGTAACATTGCAAGAATAAAATGCCTCAGAGACTCATGGGAAGCATATGAGACACTGCCATTGAAGCATGATGTGGGTTGAAAATTAAAATTAGCCAACTTTTGGCACATGACTGTTTCTTGGCATTATAATAAGTTTCGGAGAGCACCAGGCAAAGAAGGTACAAAAAAAAAATTTCTAGTCCTGTGATGGGATTAGAGACTTTTCATGGGTCATTGGGGCAGGGAAGTGAAGAATGATGAGCAGGGACATTGGGCAAGGCCTTCCCCTCCCACTCAGCTTCCCTATCTGTAAAAATGGTGACAATTATGGCTTCTCTCTTCAGGCTGTTGTAAAGATCAAGGAGATAGAATGTGTTAATGCGTGGCACCATGCCTGGTACATAGTAAGTGCTCAATAAATTACAATGAGGACAATGGCAACAATGACAGAGAAGTAGGTGGATAGATAGGAAGAAAAGGATAAAGGTGGTTAAATAATGGATTGATAGATAGATGGAAAAGGAAGAAGGAAGGGTAGGTGAGAGGGACCCTTTTCTGAGCCCCAGGCCAGAGGCCCATCAGTTCCTCTTGAGCAGCTGATGAAATTCACACCTGGACTCCTTCCCTATCAGCTCTCATATTCAAGGGACATTACGCACCTGCTTTGATTTCCCCAGGATCAGGAACCAGGCAACTAGGGACAGCCCCATAGTCCAGGAGCCCAGGAAGTTATTCAAATTAGCCAATCCCAAGAAGTCCAAGAAACCTAGCTAACCCCACACAGCTTGCCACTTAGAAGCTGCCCCTACAGCTCCAGCTTGCTGTCCCCTTGTCCCCCAGTGCACACCCTTTCTTATTTGGAACTCCAAGTAGCAAAGCGTTCTACCTTTCATCTCTCCAAGTGTCACTGTGTTGTGTCCTGCCATCAAAATAAATCTTGTAGGGGTACCTGGGTGGCTCAGTCTGCCTTCCGGTCAGGTCATGATCCCGGAGACCTGGGATCCAGCCCTGCGTTGGGCTCCCTGCCCTTCACCTCGCTTGTGCTCTCTATCACTCTGTCTCTCTCTCAAATAAATAAAAACTTTAAAAAAACAAAATAAATCTTGTAAAACAAATGCACATAACAAAATTTGCATTTTAACACTTTTAAAGTAACAATCCAGTGACATTTAGTACATTCACAATGTTCTGCAACCATCACCACTACCTACTTCCGGAACATTCCATCACCCCAAAAGGAACCCCATTCTGTTAAGCAGTCCCTTCCCAGGCTCCTTCTCCCCCAGCTCCTGACAACCACTAATCTGTTTTGTCTCTATACATTTGCCTATTCTGAATATTTCATATAAATAGTATAATATGTTCTGTGGTCTGCTGTGTTTGCCTTCTCTCACTGAGCATAATGTTTCCATCTTCATCTATATTGTATCAAGAGTGATGCTTCTTTCCTTTTTTATGGCCAAATAATATTCCATTGCATGAATATACTACATTTCCTTTATCCAGACACTGCTTTAACAACTTTTAGGTACAATACCTCCTACGAGGTAGGTACTATTATTATAATCCATCTTATAGGAGAGGAAACCAAGGGCCAGAGAGGAGCAAGTTCCTGATGGCTGCACAGCTAGTGAGTGACAGAGTCAGTATTTGAATGCGGGCAGTTTATAGCCAGGGTCTGAGTGTTGAGGCATTACCTTATGCCCCTTTCAGAGTCTGATACTCAGAGACAATGTGGCCATGTGACATGTCCCTCTGTCCTTTCCATCGGGGTGGGGGGGGCATGTTGAGATGCAAACAGAAGCAGACCTGTGGTCACCCAGCGAGTCATCTGCAGCCAGGGCTGGGGAGGAGTGGTGAGGGCACGCCGCAGATGCTGTGTTATCCAGGGCCTGCTTTTCCTATTGGCCCTGAGGGTGGTTGCCTCCCACCAGGGAGGGTGGGGGTCCACTCGGGAGAGAGTTGATTACATCCCGTACCTTAATGGGTCCTTCAAGAGAGAGTGGCTTCAGTTTCCATGACAACTGGCAGGCAGCATCACAAGGAGATGGCTGAGTTTCCTCCCTTGACCCACATCTGGCTCTGGAATCTATTCCCTCCGTCCCTGCCTTTCTGGATCCCAGGAGCCCAGCCTGTGCCCAATCCAGAGCAGGGAGGGCATCTGTGTGGGTGGTCGGCACTCATGCCCGCTGGTACACTCAGAGCTCCTGCTCTTTGGCCCTGCCCCAGGCGAGTGAGGGAGGAACGGACAGAAGCAGCACATGCTGGGCACAGGTGCGAAGCGAGGCAGGAGGGACAGGGCACAGAGAGGGCATCCCAGGCACTTCTGTGCCACTCCCAGCCCCATGTCTAGCCCACCAAAGAGAAGATGGAGAAAGCCCTGAGATGGAAATTGCTAACAGGGCTGGACAGGGTGAGACCCTTTAACAGGCAGTGACCAGACAGGTCACAGAATGTGCTCCTCAGGGCAGAGAAGAGAGATTTAACAGACAGCAGGGAAGGGAATGGTTGGAGAAAAGTTCATCCTTGTAGCCCACCTGGTTCAGACTCAGCAGTAAATCTAATTTTGATCACTGAACTATGGTTCTGTAAGGGAATGTCCTGTTCTTAGGAAATGTCCACCGAAGTACTTAAGAGTAAAGCTGGTCAAGACCTGACTCAAATTGTTCAGAAAAAATATATATATGTTCTACATATATATACATATGTAGTGTGTA